TCATTAATATGGACTAGTGGCATCGATGACTAAAATTAATTGTAATAATTGAGAGGTTATTTTCTATTGTAATAATAAAAAAAAAAGAACTACGTGAATTTTGATTTCCTCTAATTCCCAAGAGGATACATAGGCAATTAAATTATTTCAATTTAATTCAAGCCCAAAATAAAAAATTATAATTTTCTATATGAGTGAATTAGCAAAATTTATAAATTTAATGTAATAATAGTTCTAAGTTAATAGAAGTTTTTCTTTTAAAATTTTATAACAATTTATTTAGTTAATAAAACTAGACATTTTAAAATTATTATTTATTTACGAATTCAGAATCAAAATTTTATTTTTTTAAAAAAAATTTGTGTAATACCGGAACCGTAATTCGAACCGTCGGTTCATCGGAACCGTGCCTGAACCGGAACCAGAGGTTCAAGGGTCGGTTCCGGTTCAAAATTTTAAACATCTAGCAGGTTCGGTTCCGGTTCAAATTTTAAACATCTTAGAACGAGCGGGTTCAAGAACCAGGAACCAGCGTTCATTGGACCAGCAACAGCCTGTCTACTGACTTATGCCGGTTTTTGGATAACATATGAGTATTCCAGTTTTGTGTATAAGAATATATTCATCTTTATACTAAAACTTCGCAGATAGAGAGTTCATGTATTACATTCACCATATAAAGTTATCAATTTTGTTGTTTAATAAATACCTGTGGAATTTTCTAATTGACTCGTCTTAAAAGTACGATTGACCAATTTTGCTTCATATTATGGATGACAGTGAAGATTGCATTATGGATACTACTGCACCAAGCTATGAGTATTATTTGAAAAATGGTAAGTGGACAGGAGAATATTAATTTGATTGGTATGATGTTGATTATCGTCGCTATTATAAGCCTTATTGTTCTTAGAATCGTTAAAGAAGTTGAATTAATTAACCGTAATTCGAACCGTCGGTTCATCGGAACCGTGCCTGAACCGGAACCAGAGGTTCAAGGGTCGGTTCCGGTTCAAAATTTTAAACATCTAGAACGAGCGGTTCAATGAACCAGAACCAGCGGTTCATTGGACCAGCACAGTGTCTACTAGACATGGCCGGTTTTTGATAACATTTGAGTATTCAGTATTGTGTATAAGAATATATTCATCTTTATACTAAACTTCGCAGATAGAGAGTCATGTATTACAATTCACCATATAAAAGTTATCAATGTGTTGTTTAATAAACCTGTGGAATTTTCTAATTGACTCTCTAAAAGTACGATTGACCAATTTGCTCATATTATGGATGACGTGAATTGCATATGGAATACATGCCCAAGCTATGAATTATTTGAAAAATGGAAGCTGGACAGAGATATAATTTGATGGTATGATTTAATATCGTCGTATTATAAGCTTATTGTTCTTAGAATCGGTTTTAAAGAAGTGAATTAATATGAGTTACGCTTACTATGGGCTTCGGGGGCCTTAAACTTATTTGGCCCTAGTGCTGGTCCGGCCACGATTTTGGATCGTGACAACTTTACTCTCCCTTTTGTATTTAAAAATAAATTAAAATCACTCATTAATCATTAAACATTCACGAGCAGTAGGAACTGTCATTCTATAATCTATAAGTGAACTTAGCAATTTTAAAATCAACATAATCAATTTTCTTTTCATGCAATAAATTGAACTGAATTAAGTTTAATTATTATACTAAAATTAAGAGATTCACAGTTAAAAACTTTTAATTCTTTTTAATAAAAAGGATTTATATCGGAGCTGATGAGGTTTTGATATTAAAAATACTAAAATTAAGAAATTGATCGTCACAATCTCCCAATTCTTTTTAATAACAAAATTTTTACCCGAGCTGATGATATTTCGATTCCGAGAATATTAAATTTAAGAGATTGATAGTAAAAAAATTTTAACTCTTTTTAATAATAAGTTATTGGAGTCGATGAAATTTTGATTTTGGTAATACTAAGATTAAGAGAATGACAGTTAAAAACTTTTAATTCTTTTTAATGAAAAAGTTTTATACCTGAGCTAATAAGTTTTAATTTTAATAACAATAAAATTAAGGATTGACAATCAAAAGCTTCAAACTCTTTTTTATAACAAGATTTTTTATCGAGCTGATGAGATTTTGATTTTGAATTTGACAACACTAAAATTAAGAGATTAACAGTAAAAACTTTCAGTTCTTTTTAATAACAAGATTTTATAACATAATCGATGAGATTCTAATTTTGACAACACTAAATTAAGAGATTAACAGTTAAAAACTTTCAGTTCTTTTTAATAATGAAATTTCATTATTGTAGTGATTCACAGTCAAAACTTTCAATTCTTTTTTATATCAAAATTTTTTAGCAGAGCTAATGAGATTTTAATTATGACAACACTAATGAGATTTTTTTTTTGCAATAAGTTTTTTCTTCATCTCTTGATTTTTCAGTAGATAGACTGGCCAAGATGGTCGGGAGTTATCCTGTAGATATGCACAGTCTAAAACTTCCTCTATTAATTTTGGTTAGTGGTGGTTGATGCATGACATTGGTGGATTTTATATCATAAGATTTATAGTTTTTTCTTGAGCTTTGTTCTCCCTTTTGTATCTAAAAAGAAATTAAAGTCACTCGTTAAAAGAACTATCATTTTATAATCTACAAATAAACTAAGCGATTTGAAAATCAGCATAAACTCTTTTTTACTTTTCATGTAATAAATTGAATTGATTAGGTTTAATCATTATGCTAAAATTAAGAGATTGACCGTCTTCTTTTCAATAAAAAGATTTTATATCAGAGGCAATGAGATTTTGATATTAAAAACACTAAAATTAAGAAATTGATCGTCACAAAGTTTTAATTCTTTTTAATAACAAGACTTTTTACCGGAGCCGAAGAGATTTCGATTTTGACAATACTAAAATTATGAGATTGATAGTCAAAAACTTTCAATTTTTTTTTTTTAATTATAAGATTTATACTAGAGCCGATGAGATTTTTGATTCTATCAATACTAAAATTAAGAGATTGATAGTTAAAAACTTCAGATTCTTTTTAATGACAACATTGTATACCGTAGCTAATGAGTTTTAATTCTGACAAAATTAATATATTGATTCTTTTTAATAATAAGATTTTATACTGAGCCGATGAGATTTTAATTTTGACAACACTAAAATTAAGATTGACAGTCAAAAACTTTCGGTTCTTTTTAATAATAATATTTTATTATTTTAGTGATTGACCGTCAAATTTTCAATTCTTTTTAATAACAAAATTTTTTACCCGAGCTAATGAGATTTTAATTATAACAACACTAAAATTAAGAGATTGACAGACAAAAACTTCCGATTCTATTTAATAATACGATTTTATACGAGAGCTAATCAGATTTTAAATCTGACAACCGTTTACAAATAATCTCGCCTTTATTACTAGATTTTTTCCTTTAATGATAAAGTGGTTTGCATATGTCATTTTTTAGATGTTATACTAAATTTAACTTTTCATTTGCAATGTTAGAGATGACTAGATTTGTAGAATGAAAAAAAAAAAAAAAATGAGGAAAAGATTTTTGTTGGTTTCTTACTAATATGGGGAGTGGAGGTCTCGAGTTTGAGTTCTCGTGATTACAAAAGTTTTCACCAATTTGATGAGCCAAGACGAGGGTTACTTCCTGTCGTGTATCCTGCAGTGTTATTTCAATCTATTGAACCTCCTAATAAATTAAAAAAATAAATGAGAAAAATTTTTTAATCATAGTATGATAGTAAAAAATTAGATCTTAATTAATTAATAAAGGGTATGTTCAATAATATTAGCTGTTTTAATAGCTATTAACTATTAGATATTGACTCTTAACTGTTTAAATATCGGTTTAAAGTGAAAGTGTTCGATAAAAATAGCTATTTAGTTAGCTATTAGATTTAAAATGACAAAAAAGTAGAGGTAACAATTTTATATTATAAGTTCAAAAATTATTCATTAATTATTGTGAAACTCTAAACCTTAAGTGGTGTAATGTTTCATTAAATGCTTTTTTAATCTGTAAAAGTTACTTTCTTCGTCCCAAAATATTTTTTCTGTTGATTTTTGCATAAAATTTAAATAAAAAACATACAATTATATTGTCACATCATATAAAATATTTATACTTTCCAAAATTGTCTTCCTTTTAAACAAAAAAAAATATATATATTCTTAGAATTTAAAATCATTTATAACCAGAGATATAAAGGAAAAATAAATATTTCTTAAGTCAAGTGGATAAACATTTTGGGACATCCAAAAAATAAAAATATGGACAAACATTTTGGGACGAAAATAGTATTATATAGATTATCTTGCCGAACACTTTAACTAATAAAAATAGTGTTTTAACCTAGGGTTGTTCAACAAAAGTAGTTGTTTTAGTAAATGTTAGGTGTTTAACTTGAATTCATAAAACGTTAAAGGGGATAACGTTTCAAAATTTATTCCCTCAGACTCTAAAAATTAATATAAACATTATGCTACCGAAAACTATAAATAATAAAACCTATGTATACTAAGTCAAAATACTAAAATTTATATAAAAAATTGTCGTTAAGCGAGAACCCGTTAAAATGCTAAAAGCGAACTATCCCTTGAGATTTTTTTTTGCCAACAAGGTTAAAAACCTATAATTTTTGGTTGCCAACGAGCAAAAATTAGATTTCCATTTAGGGTTCCTACAAGCAAAAAGTCAAACAACCAGGCGATCACAGCCCCTAATCAGAATTAAAAAGTAACGGAATAAATCTGAAGGCAAAAAACAATCAATGGCTGATGACTAGTGTTATATGCATGCATGTACAAATGTTGTGTATGTGCATGTATTATATAATTTTTCCAATAAGTATATATAAGCAATGAAGAGGTGGTAAGCAACTCGTTTTTTTTTTTTTTTATGAGATCGCAAAAAAACCCAAAAAAAACACACTTTGTCAGAGTTTCCATTTTAACCTTTCACTGCAAAAGAAAAAAATAAATCATAATTCACAAATCCAAATTCATACCATAAAAATAAAAATATTTGAAAAATAAATAAAAAATCAAAATCTGCTCCTTCCATTTCCAGTCTCTCCCTATATATTCCTCACACCAGACTCCACAAAACCTTCTCTTCTTTTCTCTTTATACATTTCTGAAAAGAAAAAAGAAAAAAAAAAAACCTCCTTTTCTCTTACTAGAATATATGTATAAATTTCAATTTGTTTGGTAACTGAATTTGCATTAGCTGATCAAAAATTATAACACCAATTGAAAGGGGAGGGCATATTGTAGAGGAGGATGAGCATGCCCTCTGTTTTAATTCTTATTGTGCCTCCTCTCAGATCTTAATTCTTTGTTTTTTTGACGAGATTTGGCATCTGGGTTTTTCTTAAATCGGTGCGTTTAGTTGGATTTTGGATTTGGATCTCAGCAAAATATGTAAAATTTTTAACTTTTATCAAATCCATGATTGAATTGTGTTTCTGGGTGATTTATTGTTCATTTCTTTTGGTTTCAGGTTTGGTTCATTGCAAGTTGGTCGGTTGATTGATCGTTCAAGGATCTGTTAGTTTTTGTTTTTCATCCAACAAAATATACCGAGTTATTTATTTATTAGAATTGTTCAAATAAGGTATCCTTTAATTGTTCAATTGATTATCTATGAGCATTATTACGAGAGCTATAGCTTAGATTCATTATCTGCATTTTTTCTTCTACATTTAAAATGTTATAAAATTGTGTATTAACTACTATATTTGATTTTGTTTGGATCTAGTGTAATCAACACAAATTATCAGAATCGAAGGAATTGAAAGCGGGTGGTGATCTTTAAGCAGGAGGTAGTTTATATTTTTATATATTGGATTATTATTAGTATGCATTGTATTGATTTGAGGTATATATCTTTGGCCTTGATGCTTAGATATTAAAAAGAAAATGCAATCTGATAATGGCAAGCTATTCATTGGTGGAATTTCGTGGGACACCAATGAAGAGAGACTTAAGGAGTATTTTGGTTCATTTGGGGAGGTGGTGGAAGCTGTGATAATATAGCTTAGATTCATTATCTGCATTTTTTCTTCTACATTTAAAATGTTATAAAATTGTGTATTAACTACTATATTTGATTTTGTTTGGATCTAGTGTAATCAACACAAATTATCAGAATCGAAGGAATTGAAAGCGGGTGGTGATCTTTAAGCAGGAGGTAGTTTATATTTTTATATATTGGATTATTATTAGTATGCATTGTATTGATTTGAGGTATATATCTTTGGCCTTGATGCTTAGATATTAAAAAGAAAATGCAATCTGATAATGGCAAGCTATTCATTGGTGGAATTTCGTGGGACACCAATGAAGAGAGACTTAAGGAGTATTTTGGTTCATTTGGGGAGGTGGTGGAAGCTGTGATAATGAAAGATCGAACCACGGGACGTGCCCGTGGATTTGGTTTTGTTGTTTTTGCTGACCCAGCTGTTGCAGAGAGAGTCATTAAAGAAAAGCACAACATTGATGGTAGGATGGTAAGTTTTATTAATCTTAAAGCAACTTCTTTGTTTTTTATAATGTACTATAACTATAGGCGATTGTAATGAACAAGATTGAGAATATCATTTCTATATAGTTATCACGAGTTCAATGTTCTAATTGCAGAAACTCATTTAATTCTGGTTATCTATTGAACTAGATTTCAAATTTGCCACGAGTAAAGTCATGCCCTTTCACTTATCTGTTTGATTTTCTTTAATTTGGTAATGATTTATAAATGTACAAAGTAAAATGTTGATGAACTTCAGTTTATTTTCAAGTGTTGTTAGATCTCTTGCTATCTGAAATTTGGTTTTTTACAACTAGTGAGTTGTCCGTCCTCAGGTTGAGGCAAAAAAGGCTGTTCCCAGGGATGATCAGAACATTCTGAATAGAAACAGTGGCAATAGCATTCATGGTTCTCCTGGCCCAGGACGCACGAGGAAGATATTTGTTGGAGGTTTGGCATCCACGGTTACCGAAACTGATTTTAGAAAGTATTTTGAACAGTATGGGACAATAACAGATGTTGTGGTGATGTATGATCACAACACCCAGAGACCAAGGGGATTTGGATTCATTACATATGATTCAGAAGAGGCAGTGGACAAAGTTTTGATGAAGACTTTTCATGAATTGAATGGAAAAATGGTTGAAGTTAAGCGAGCAGTTCCCAAAGAGTTATCTCCTGGTCCTAGTCGCAGCCCACTTGGTGGATATAACTATGGTTTGAGTAGGGTTAATAGTTTCCTTAATGGCTACACTCAGGGGTATACTCCAAGTACAGTTGGTGGCTATGGACTTAGGATGGATGGTAGATTCAGTCCAGTTTCCGGTGGCCGAAGTGGGTTTCCTACATTTGGCACTGGTTATGGAATGGGTATGAATTTTGAGCCTGCATTGAGCCCTAATTATGGAGGGAATGCAAATTTTAGCAACAATCTCAATTATGGACGAGGAATGAGCCCTTACTATATTGGTAATACAAATAGGTTTGCTAGTCCTATAGGATATGATGGAGGTAATGGAGGAAATAGCTCTTTTTTCAGCTCAGTGACTAGGAACCTGTGGGGAAATGGGGGGCTCAACTATAACTCTAACTCTGCAAGTTCCAATGCATACATGGGATCTGGGACTGTAGGCATCGCTGGGAACAATTTTGGGAACAATGGAGTTAACTGGAGTTCTTCAACCCTCTCAGCACAAGGTGGAGGGAACAATGCTTCTAACAACCTGAATTTTGGGTACGGGGGTGGCGAAAACAGTTTTGTTTTGGGGACTGGTGGATATGGAAGAAACAATGGGAACAATTTGGCTACAAGTTCATCATATGCTGCATCAAATGGTAGTTTTGATGGAGCCTTTGCGGATATTTACAGTGGAGGGTCGGATTATGGGGATCCCACTTGGCGATCATCAAACACTGAGCGAGATGGATCTGGATCTTTTGGTTACAGTCTTGGCAATCCCACCTCTGATATTCCAGTAAAAAATTCTCCTGGTTATGTTGGTGGTTATAGTGTTAATAAGAGACAGTCAAATAGAGGTACATGATTCTTTTCTGTATCTTCCTTTAAATGCTTCCTCTGTTTTCTGAAATATCTTACTGGAATTGATTGGGAAATTCTTGCTAAATCATTATGGATGCTTATCATGGTCGTTTGAAATTTGAATCATCAATACCATTATTAAGATAAGCAATTAATCTCTTTTCTCTCATGTCATTTTAATGGAGTATGTGTATGTGTATATAAATAACAAATGTTTACTTAAGACTTTCATGTTTTGGATAGATATCGCAACAATTTGAAATTGGGAGCTGTTATCACATGCCTGATTTTGATTGCATTAGTCTGGCTTTATTTTGCTGGACATGGAGATCTCTTTGCAACATCTAGTTATATAATTTATTTGTGCACAGCCACAGAGAATGTTGCTTCAATCCAGAAATTTGAGTGTGGTATTATTTGCCAATACTAGAGGTGCAAAAATTTTAACAGAAAGTTGACTGGGCTCAAATGAATAGTTCATAATGCTAGTGAAAAACATTATTTCAAACACCTTACAGGCATTGGATTACCAGCTGCTACCAACTGCACTCTTTACTTCTGTTTACGAATGTTCTAACGGATTCTGGAACTATCCTTTGGTTCTTAGGTGCAAAGCTGGGAGCATAAACCTCTCTTATATAATATAATGATGCTGATAATTCAATATTTCTTTTCTTCCATATAGTAAATGATATTTATGGTTTAAGAAGTTGTATTAGCTTCTGGACCATGTCATAGGTAATAGTAGTCAAAAGAGGAATTCTTTTCTGCACATTTAGATGAATTGATTGGTAATGGAAGTGGAACTCTAAAAACTTAAAATTTCTTCTCTTGGCTGGTAATTTTCCATCCTTTTAACTTATTCTTATCTTATGATTAACATTCAATTAAATCATGGACAGATAGACTGACCTCTGTTCTCAGTATAATACATGTTCCTTTCTGTCTTCTATATTGGCTTGTGATAAAGAAATCAAATTATATTGTTAATTCTATGTTGGTGTTTTTTTAACTTGTTGAACTATATTAAATGCTGTAAACTTCAGTTCATAGATTGTTCTGTGTTTGTCAGTTCACTTCACTACATGTTTTCTCTTTCACGTGGGGTTTTAAGATCAAAAATAAATTTCTCATTGTTAGTGCTATATTTATTCATACTAATTGCATGCTTGCTATTGTTGAGACTTAGATGCAAAATATTTAGTCTTATTTCTGCATGTCAAGAACTGTTTTCTTGACTGATGAAGATTGGATATACATAATAACTCTTTTCTTTTGCCTCTTCAATTCTTTTCCACCTAAGGTTGATTGAGGATGATGTTAAGGACCAGAAAATCCAAACCTTATGTCTAATTATTTATTATGGCCAATGCTTTTCATAGTTGATTCTGGTCATGTCTAGGTTCTCTCAAGTTGCTGATGTGGCATATATTTTAATCCAAAAATAGCAGGTATTTGCTGATGTGACATTTTAATGCTTAAAAATGCCATTGAAATCATGTCTAGTTATTATTGTTCAACTCCATAATGCAAACTGGCAGGCTGCTGCTGCTTATTTTTTGATTGATATATATGTCATTACGATTCCACAGAAAAGGACACACCTTTTTTTTTCTTTTTTTTTTAAAGTAAAGAAAAATGCAATTCTAGCAATAGAGGGAATTGATATATGCTTACATCAACTAAGGTGGCTATAATTGATGCAAATATTCAGAAGTGTGTAAAATTGACATAAAAAAGGCATAGGCCATAATGTCAAAATATGTGTATAAAAAATTGACATGAAAAAGAAAAGCTTTGACCATACTTGAATGGTTGAACTAAGGTTTTGATTTTTGGTAATTAGACTGAATTCTGTTTTTCTGGTTACCATTTTCTAAAAATATAGCATTTATCATCAATTGCATTCTTTGCTTTTCCCTTCATCTTATTATAATAGTTCTCTTTTCTGTTTCATCCAATAATTTAACATATTATACTTTTTCCTTCTTCATGTAATTTCCTCTGCTGTTGCATTAATTACTCGTGTGCAGAATTTTCAACTTTAAAATATTATGCAATATTAGTATGAAAAAAAAAAGAAATGCTTTTATTGTTACTTTTATCTATGAGACTATTTTCACTGGAGAGAGGGAGAGAGAGAGAGTGATTCACTTGGCATGTCTTGGTATGTTGTTAGACCATTAGTTTTGCATTATAATTTTAAGTAGGAATATGTAACAAATCTCCAACTTCCCTGGTGGGACATTTTTCTGACTTTGTCTTGGAAGTTATTTTAGGAACAATAAAATATGCTGAGTTTTCAGCTATGTTGCATGGAAACAGAAGCATGGAAACGCGGAAATGGGAAAACAGTATTTTTAAAACTTTAGGAAATGAAAACATGGGGGAAATGCGTAAATATGAAAAATATAGGGTTGTATTTATAAATATAAAAAATAAATTATATAAACCATCGAATATATTCATCAACAAGTCAAGTCTAATCAACATTTAATCATATCCAAAAAGATTAGAAGTTCCATACTCATAAAAAATACGTTTGTTACTTTGTGTCTATTTATGTATTTATTTTATTGAGGGGAATGAGTTTTTGAGAGCTTTCAGTTTATGGAAACGTATTTATGAGAGGGGAAAAGTGTTCCCAAATTACTCAATTTACGGAAATGGCCCCGAAAGGTTTCCGAGGAGTTTCCAAGCGTTTCCGAAACGCGGAAACGGCAGCCAAGGAAAGCTTCCATGCAACACAGGTTTTCAGTTTAGCATTCTAGAAAGTTTGATCCTAAAGATAACGAATAGAGGAGAAGATAAAGATAGCAAATAGAGGTAAAGATCTATAAAACTAAGTTGAGTGAGTAATGCCCTTTGGTGTAGGTTGTTGTATTACATTCATATCTTAACTGTTGCAGGTTTTATTTTTTTAGCTATACTGTCGCTTGTATGCCGAAGCTTACATTAGGTTGACTTACCTTATTGAACAAAAGGCTGTGTTTCTTGAATATTACAGACTTGCTGAGGTCTGCTAGTGTTATGGAAAGATATTTTTGTTCTGTTTGGACCTTACAATAAGTTGCTTAAGTTAAGATAGTATATGGATTTGACTTTATCTATGATAAGCTGTTCAGAGTATACACAAAATATGTACCAAACCTTGGATCTGTACTTGAATTTTTTCATGAGGCATTTTCTCCTGCTATTTGATTGTTCATTCAACTCCACTGGTCCATGGAGTGAAATTTATTCTTGAATTTGGTGCTTTTGTATCCATTCCCAATCAAGGCAGGTACTTTGTCATGGCTGTGGTCCTGAGCAAAGAACAAATTGCTTTGTGAAAGAAATAAGCTTTTGAATTACAATGTCCCTGTATTCATTCATTAATGGGCTCATGCAAATCCTCATTTAAATGGTAATGGTGTCATGTATAGTATGGACTTAATTTCTTATGTATAACTTGGATGCTGAAGGATGGATGCCTCTAATGTGCAAACAATGAAGCATGGACTAAAAAGTTAGATTGTTTTGCCACCTTTTGTGGGTTTGTCATTATTTTGCTGGAGGCTTTCTCATAACTGTGTTTCTGAGAGAGCTCGGGAATTGAAAACATGAAGTCAGTAGAGGTTTAAATGTTTGCTTGGACATAAAATATTAATGGAGAGTACAGTGAGATATAGTTGATCAGATTTTGTTGCAGACACAGTAGACACCAACAGATGCCGTTATTCATGAGCCGATGTGACCATGCTTTCAAAGCATTGGTTGTGATATAGTAAGAGGTGAGGCGGTGGTCTTACTAGCTTTTGAAATAACCAAATGCTAATAAGAATGAAAAAACGACCATGGATGGAGGTTTAATTAGGATAAAGGAGATGGTAATTTAAACCATAGTCCCTGGATTGTAGTCTAACCAATGTTATGTTTGCAATAGCAAAGTAACAGCAGTCAGTGGTTTACAGTTAACTGTTGAAACTAACACTCATTTTTTTCTTCTGAAGTGGCATTTTTGCTTAAGCATAGGGTTATATGTTGGCATGATTGTTGCATCTTTTAAAGAGTTGAACATGATGCTCAATTTATCCTTAATATTAATACAGGGTGACTGCTTGTATTGTTGGAATGTAAAATAAGCAAATTCTTTGTGACTTGCATTTTGCCAATATCTTTGCTGATGTGAATTGTTTTTCTTGCAATATTTCTGCTGATGTGCGATCTAATATCCTCTCTTGGAATTTGGATTGAAGTTATTCATGAGAATGATAAATTTTTTTTTCTCCATCATGGCATTTTATTTTTAAGTGTAGTTGTTTTTTCTTTTCATGGTGCATATGTTTTAACTCATCCATGATCTTAATTTGCTTCAGGAATTGCTGCTTAGGAGGATCGTTTTGGTTATCATGATATTGTAGGTGAAGATAATCTGGTGAAAAGCAGGTGAACTGTGAATGATGCACATCCCCCACAATACGTTTCAGTTAAAAGAAAAATTGGTTATCTAGAGCTAACTGCAATGCCTGTTTTGAACAGTTAAATTTAGGGATAGAAGTTATAAGGGATTTTATTTTAAGGTTTGAGTTCTGAGTTACAATTTTAGGTTTTTCAGTTTTTGGTATTTGAGTGAGATGTAAAATCAGCTTGCGGGATATAGTCAGAAATGTATCATGCATCTCTGGTGAGGCAGCGATACAAAAAAAAAAAAAAAAAAAAAATCCCCATCCTCTGCCATCTCTTCGCTGATGTGCGACTCTAATATACCTCTCTTTGGAATTTTGGGATTGAAGTAGAAGTCTATTTCATCTGGAGAAAATTGAATAAATTTTTTTTTCTCCATCATGCATCTTTTTTTTAAGTCACTGTAGTTGTTTTTTTCTTTTTTCCATCGGCTGCATCACTTGTTTTCAAACTCAATCCATTGCATCTTTAAAATTTGCTCTCAGGGAACTTGCTGCTTAGGGAGTCGATCGTTTTCGGTTTATCATGATACTTGTAGGTTGATATAAATCTCGAGTTGAACAAGCAGGTGAACTGTGAGTGAATGACTGCACATCCCCCACCTAATCACGTTTCAAAAAAGAAAAATTGGTTTATCCTACGAGCTCAACCTGCCAATGCCTGTTTTGCAAAAACAGTTAAATTTAGCGATAGAAGCTTATAAGGTATTTTATTTTAAGGTTTGAGTTTCCTGAGTTACAATTTCTACGGTTGTTTCTCGTTTTTTGGGGTATCTTGAGTTGACGATCGTAAAAATCAGCCTTGCGGGATATTAAGGTTCCAGAAATGTATTCATGCATCTCTTGTGTGAGCCGGCCCAGCGGATACAAAAAAAAAAAAAAAAAAAAAAAAAATGTTGCTAGACCATTTTTTTCCCTCTCTAGGTTTCCATATTCCTGTGACTTATCAAAAAAAAAAAAAAAAAAAAAAAATGTTGTAGACCATTTTTTTCCCTCTCTAGGTTTCCATATCCTGTGATATCTGGCGAAGTTTGTGGAATTCTTGCCAGGTATGTTTTGTTTTTCCCCTTCATCCCATTTATTTGGGTTTGTTTTTCAGCAGATTGTACCTGAGCTTCTTGTTGATTTTACTAGTGTGAAACGTTGAAGGGATACCCATCTAGGGTCTCCATGAATAAGTTACCACATACTATGATTCTTTTCCATTAGAATATATTATGCAACAATTGAGAACTTCATTTGTTGAATGAACTATTTGAAACTTGTATATGCAAACAATCTTCAGATTTCTTGTTCACACGACTTGCAATCTACGACATGTTTGGGATTAGGGTTTTCTAAAATTGTTGCATTTGTTCAAATCTACTGAATAATATAGTTGGTACTTGGAAATGTGAAATCCATTGAATTGAAAGATTCCACTGTCTGCTGTACATAATATAGTTGGTAGTTGGTGCCACATTCTAATCTCTTGTTGGAATCTCTCAATTTTAAAAGATTTCTTGTAAATGTACTGAAATTCTTAAGTTCTCTTCAGTTGGCTATTGCAAACTAGGGATTCTATGAAATCTATTCATTTTCTTTTCTTTATTTATTTAGGTCCTGATTGGCATGAATAAATTTTATATAATTTGTTTGGAATTTTTATGTTTTTATATGATTGATATAAAAAAATGACATGTCCCCTTCACACCACTTTGTTCAAGTTCAGTAAATAATGGTTATATGCTCTTTCTAATATTTAATAATATCTAAAATTATATTTAAAAAAATAAAATTAAATGTTGCTTATTAGCCTTTAACGATGTCTATAGAGTCTACTAATCTCCGATATAAATTTTTTAATCAAATTGGTAAAAATTAATTATTATTATAATACTCAAAATTGATCTCATTTACTCGAGTTTAAGCTCAAATTAAATAAAAATTGATGTTTATTGTTTTTCTGAAACTTGCAAATAATATATCACTAGCCCGAATCATTTACATCCAAACGCATTAACTGAATGTCGTATCAATATAATGGCTTATTGAATTTTAGTCTCCATGGTCGCTTCAAGAGAGGCATATCCCTAATTTTAGTGGCAAATGCAAGAAAGTTGCCTCCCAAGCAGAATTCAATTTAGAATCTCTATTTATATGATAGAGGGACGTTAAAGGCAGACCATTTTGCCTGCTCCACTCATTTTCTTCAATTTCTCTTTATAAATGGGTGTGATTTTTTACTGACCCAAAAGTTGAAAAGAGGAAAAATAGATAATAGAAAGTGGTCCTTCTGACCCTTTTGAAGGTCAATTGCAAGTTGCAATCAATAAATTTTAGGCTTTTTACAGGCTGTGTCCATACCTACACAGGCAAATGCGTGATTGATGGGGAAGAAAATACCACTAAATAGCCAAACTCCATTTCAATAGCTGCTGGAGGTTATGAGCTATAAATAATAAATGCCATCGGACACAGAGCTTCTTGTTAGGGCACATTTTGGAGTTTAGTTGTTAGTTCTTTTAACTATGTTGAAGCAGAAATAAGAGAGAAGGTTTAAGTTTATTGGAATCAGATACTGTTATAAGTTCAAACCGAGCAACCCGATTAGTTATTTTTATTATTTATTTTTATATAATAAATTAAAATAGTAATGCATGCTCGATTTGAATTTTGAATAATTCTAATTAGAATTCAGAAGAAAAAAAATGTATAGTTAAATAAGAGAGACGTCGAGATATTTTTTTATAATTTAAAATTGAAGGACTTCATAATTTAGTTTTTTTTATTTTATTAAATTTATTTTCTCATTTTAATTAAATATGAACTATTGCATGGAAAGTAAGAAATTCATAAAAAAAAAGAAAAATTAATATTAAATGACTCAAATTTTGATGAAATATAAAGCAAAAATCTTTTGGAAATGTTCGGTTCTCGACTGCAGGGGATAATGTCTGGTTTCTGGAGGCCAAGAACAGGTATCAGGAATTATTGTTACAAAGGGAAATTTTTTGGAAACAACGTGCCAAAGAGTTCTGGTTGCGAGAAGGTGATGCTGATACCCGTTTCTTCCATCGACAAGCTACAGTCCGACAGCAACAGAATCAGATTTCTTCTCTGCGAGACGAATCTGGAACCTAGTGTCACTCGAACTTCGGGTTAGAGGATCTTATGGTACGTTATTTTATTAATGTGTTTGCTTCCCAGAATTGCACCTCTACGTTGGTTTCGATTTTAATCAGCCTGTAATTACTACGGAACAAAATGAGTTCTTGTTAGCTCCTTATTCAATTGAAGATGTTCGAGCAGCAGTGTTTGACATGAAGGCCGACAAAGCCCCGGGACTTGATGGGTTCAATCCTGATTTCTACCAAGGCTACTGAGATGTCATAAGTACTGATATTGCTCAGAGTTGTATTGAGATAATTTACAGCGGGTCTATTCCTGATCTTCTAAATGTGACTGAATTGGTTTTAATTCCTAAGAAATCATGCCCAGAATCTATGACAGATTTGAGACCAACTGCCCTTTGCAATGTTCTGTTAAAAATCATTACAAAGATGCTTGCAAATCGTCTTCGCAATATTCTTCGCAGGAATATTCAGGATAATTGTATTGTTGGCTTTGAAGCTTCACATGCATTTCACAGGAAGACTAGGGGTTTTGATTTTTCTGCAACTGTCAAAATGGACATCAGCAAAGCATATGACAAAATGAAGTGGTCCTTTCTTCACCAGATGCTAGCTAAATTGGGTTTTAATGATATATGGATTAATCTTATCATGTCTAGTCTAACTTCGGTCAAGTACTGGATTTTGCAGAATAGTAAAGAGCTTGGGCCCATTATCCCCACTCGGGGTTTGCGACAGGGAGAACCTTTATCCCAGTACTTGTTCATCATCTGTGTTGAATGCTTATCAAACATGATTCGGATGTCTATTCAGAATGGTGATCTGAGTGGTTTTTGGGTATGCGGGGTGGACCACTAATTTCTCATCTATTTTTTGCTGATGAAAGTTTGGTGTTTTTAAAGGCTTCGGTTCAGGAATCACAATCTCTCAAACATATTTTAGCTACGTATGAGGCAGAATCAGGGCAACAGATAAATTTAAACAAGTCTTCCATTACTTTTAGTGCTAATACCCCTCGGCACTCCAAAAATCAAATATGCTCCTTACTATAGGTTACGGAGAAGGATACATTAGGTACTTACTTGGGTTTACCGTCATATATAGGGCGGAATAAGAAGGAGGTTTTTCATTACATTAAGGACCGGATGTGGAAGTGTTTAAACTCGTGGGAGTTCAAGTCTCTTTCCCGTACGGGAAGAGAAATCCTGTTAAAAATGGTTCTTCAGGCTTTATCTAACTATCTTATGAGTTTTTTCTTGTTACCCAAGACTTTGTGTACAGAATTGGAACGTATCATGACTCGATTCTGGTGGGAAAGTGGGCGAAATTATTCTCAGGGCATTTATTGGCTTGCTGGAACAAAATGGCTATTCTAAAGTTGTTCGGAGGGCTTGGATTTCGAAAACTTCACGAATTTAATATAGCTCTTCTGGGTAAACAGGGCTGGAAACTCATGGCAAGCCTGGATTCATTTGCAGCATGTGTTTTGAAAGCAAAGTACTTTCCGAATCGTAGTTTTCTAGAAGCTGATCTCGGCGCAAATCCGAGCTATGTTTGGTGAAGCATTTGGGAGTCTAAGAGTTTGATTCAAAGGGGATTATATTTGCGTGTTGGTAATGGTTCCAATATATTTATTTAGGATTCTCCTTGGCTGTCTCAAATTCCGAGCTATGTTTGGTGAAGCATTTTGGGAAGTTCTAAGAGTTTGATTCAAAGGGGATTTATATTTGCGTGTTTGGATAATAGGTTTCCAATATATTTATTTAGGATTTCTCCTTAGGCTGCTCTTGATGAAGAGATGTTCTTTTCATCTTAAAACTTCCTAGACCACAAGACAGTACTGCCTTTCCTGGTTTCGGATTCTTATTGTTGCAATAGAAAGATTGAATGTCGAGTTGGATTAGGAGATTATTCAATGAAAGAGAATGTTGCATGTATTTCTCTTTATTCCCTTGGTACATAGGAGATTATTCAATGAAAGAGATGTTGCATGTATTCTCTTTATTCCTTTGAGTAATTAGATGGGAGATGAAGGGGTTTGTTGGAAATTTGACACGAAAGGCACATACACAGTCAAGAGTGCTTACAGGTTACTTCTGAATAATCCTATTGAGTCACAATTTATGTCTGCTATAAGTTGGGCTCGGCTGTGGAAGATGAAGATTCCACCCAAAGCTGTTAATTTCATTTGACGTGCCGTTTGTGATGTTCTACCTTGTAGGAGGAATTTATGTTCTAGGAAGGTGGAAATTCAAGATATTTGCCCTCTATGTCTTGGACACTCTGAAACTAATCTTTATATTCTTGTCAACTGCCCTTTTCCAAGACAGGTTTGGACTCTTTCCTATCTTGGGTTTAGGTGGTCTTCAGCTATGTCTTTTGGGGAGTGGTTTCAGCAAGCCTCGTCGTCCTTGACTTTGGAGAACTTGGGTTATGTTTCTATGGTTTGTTGGGCATTATGGGTCAACAGGAATGATATGGTATGGCGTCAAAGAAGCAGGAATCCAGGAGCGGTACTTTTGCTAGCTACGGGTGTTTGGCATGCATGGAAGGAAGCTAAGCTTTATGGTTCGGCAATTCCTTCTACAGTAACCTATGAGCTTACATGGAGTCCACCACCGTTTAATTGGTTAAAAGTGAACACAAATGTTTCAACTGAAGTGGCTACTGGTTATGTGGCTATTGGAACAGTACTTAGGAATTAAGCCTCTGAGTTTATTGCTATCGAAGCATGGAGATTTTCGGGCTTTTTCAGTGCTAAGGTGGCAGAGGCCATAGCCGTGAGAGAAGCTTTGAGCTGGATCAAGGAACAAGGCTGAAATTATATTTTGTTGGAATGTGATTCTTTGTTAGTTGCCAATGCCATCAACAATGATACTATGGATGATTCGTTTGCTTTTGGTTTGATAATTCAGGACTGCAAATCTCTTCTGTCTGAGATATTAGTTGCAAAATGTAATTTTATTTATAGGTCTGCGAATGTGGCTGCACATACGTTAGCAGTTGGAACACATTTCGAAGCAGGCTTGGGGGTTTGGGATTCTATACCACCCCTGTTCTACTTGATTTCTTGATTTCGTAATAAGTATTCTCATTTTAACTTCAAAAAAAAAAAAAAAAAAATTTCGTTAATAAGTATTGCTCATTTATACTTCAAAAAAAAAAAATAAAGGCAAAATTTTAATTTTCAATTTTATGAATTTTTGAATTTATAATGTTTTATGTTTATATGGATAGTACATAGCATATTTTATCACCTCCATTGCTAATCTTTAAGTCTTGCATGCTATCCTATGTCTTCTTTCCATAAAGCTGTTGTGAAGAAAGTAGCTTATTGATTAGTTAGAATAAGGTTATGATATATAGTGAATGAACTTAAGTCTAAAATAAATGAACTGGGAATACCTCTTGTCGTCTTCTTCTCCGCCCATCTTATTCCCAAATCGATTGAATTGGGGAATATATGAAAAAAAAAAAAAAAAAAAGGCAAAAATCTTTAATTTTAAATTTTATGAATTTTTGAATTTATAATTTTATGTTTAAGGATATACATAGCAATTTCACCTCCATTGCTAATCTTTAGTAACTTGCAATGAACTAAAATCCTATGATCTTCTTTCCATACGCTGTTGTGAGAAAGTAGCTTATTGATAGTTAGAATAAGGTTATATATATATATAATGAACTTAAAGCTAAAATAAATGACTGGGAACCTCTTGCCTCTTTCTTCTCCGCCCACCCCAAATCATTGAAGGGGAAATAGACCGAAAAGAATTGACTTGCCTATGCTGTATGTATGACTTTGCTTATGAACCAAATTAAGGAAAATAGTCTACTTGACTAAGTTTAGACAAGTCAATTTCAGATAAAAATAATATTATGAGTTACATAGTACAATAACTTTTCATTTGAAATAATGCTCATCAAATTGGTAAAAACTTTTATAATCAAAAGGAATCGAATCCGAAGCTTTCAATCCTTATAAAAGTGAGAAAGATAATTCAACATCTTTGATTTGGAAAAATCTTATTGTTTGCATGTTAAATCATGAGCAAAAAGTTAAATCCTTCCACATATTTCGAGTTATACGTACAAAAGCTTTGCCAATTTGCTACCGTTGGGATCAAAGTGACAAGTAAAATGATAGGAAAGAGACTTAAACTGCTATGAAATGAGTATTGTATTTGTCTAAATCAGATTCATGTCTTCATCCATGAACTAAATTAATTACGATGGGATATCTTTGTTTAAATAAGGTCTTGGTAAAAATAAATCAATAAATGTCAAGATGGCCGAGTTGGTCTAAGGCGCCAGTTTCAGGTACTGGTCCGAAAGGGCATGGGTTCGAATCCCATTCTTGACATTTTTTTTGGGACCATGGGTTCTAATCCCAATCTTGACATTTTTATTTATTTTTAAATTTAAATAATAATAATTCTCGGAATTCAATTAAAATATGAAAATTTCTATTCCACAAAAGAATATACATATATAATATAATATAATATTCAAAATACAAATCCTCGATAATTTCAAAATACACAAAAAAACTCCAATATTCATGAATTTTTTCAACTATGAATTCCACTTCCTTTATCAGACCCAGCAATTAGTCCTTCTCTTCTCAATTTCTCTTCTTTAGATTTTCTACAAAAAATAACCCAAGAATTCACCTCCAAAGCTATACAAGCACCCATCAATGTAGAAATGCACAAACAATACACCAATTTAGCATAAGACCTACCTGCTCCCATGACTTCAAATCCTTGAAAAACATTAACAATTCCTAAAACGACACATGCATACCCTACAAAATGATGGTAAGATTTCCAGTACTTCCTATATCTATTTGTCGTTTTAGGCCTAAGTAACAATGCCAGGGTTTGCAAAGATCCCAAACAAAACACCGCAAATCCAAGCTTTCTATGCATACTATAGACAATACCTTTTGATAATTCTCCAAGCCTAAGCCCAATAGCAAAGCCCATTGTCCCTAAAAAGAACCCACTCATTTGAATTCCTGCATGCGCGTAAAACCAAGCCGGCCCAATTGATTGTATATGTCTCAAATATCTAGCAGTAACAGCCCCAGTTGGCAATAACACACCGAACGACAGTGCGTTTATGAACCCATGTGCTATTTTCAACGTTTTTCTGTTGTCGTTTTGAGCAGCAGTAAAACCAGACAATACATCAACAGTAGTAATGGAAGATAAATCATTTGAACTGGTTGGATGGATTGTTGGAGAATAACCTTGGACGTATAATCCGCGGTTCCATACAAAATGAATTTTGGTGTTGTTTGGTTGTAGTTTTAGTGTAGCATATATTTGGATAGCGGCGCCGTTATGTATCGTGGCCATTTTGCCGCCGTATAGAGCAGCAGAGGAAGAAACAAGGTGGACATCTAAAGGGCGAGAAAGAAGGGGTGATTTCTGTAATTTCACAGTTGGGTCTAAAATATAAGGTAATAAAACTAACTGGCCTGTATTGGGATCTGGAAACGCGATTAAGGCGCGCGTGCCTGCCATTTCTGGAGAGGTTGGGTTTATTCCAAATCCAACCCAACCGGAGGGGGAAATGAAAGTGCCAAAAAATACAAGGTCTAAAGTGTAATTATAGGTGTGAAATGTCCATGCCATTGAAGCTTGTTGAGTAGGGAGTTGCATGCATTTTTCAAAGGATTTAGAAGATGCGATTGTTGTGCAATGGGAAGAAATTGCATGGTGGAATTGGAGAATGAGAAGGAAGAAGAGGAAGATGAGAGACATAGTGGTAGAAGAAGAGGAAGAAGAAAAAGAGAGAATGAAGAATAGAATTGGGTTGAAAGAGGATATGATACAAGCTTTTGTTAATGTTTATAAATTTGGTAAATGACTTTTTTTTTTTTTTTTTCCCTTTTGTTTTAGTGAGAATGTGTGATGGGTCATTATGGCTATGATCATGAATATGGCATTTGATTTCTTTTTTTTTTCTTCTGCTTAGCTTTGAAGGAAAGGTAATTTTGAGTGGTAGTTTGGCGGATATGAAAATGAAGTTTGGGATTTGTTTGTTTGGTTGGTTGTTGAGTGCAAAAACCCACTTTTATAAAAAATTCGTTGTAATTGTTATATTTTTGTAATTTTATCAAGATCAAATAATTATCTGAAAAAGAAATTTAAAGTATAAAAGTGATGTTGAGCAATAACTTTTTAGGTAGCATTTAGAGTTTTGACCTATTCGACAATAGTTTTTCACGTAGCTTTACGTTTTAATTAAGATCAAGACACTGTCTCTATTAGTTGTATTGTTTGGTAATATAAAATTTATATAGTGTTTAACATTTAGGTGAACAAAACTTTATTCATTTAATCTATGATGTTGGCTACTATAACAGCTGACACCTATTAAAACAACTAATTTTAGTGATTATATCTCTAGTCAAAACGCTACCTCTGTTAATTATAATGTTTGGTAGTGTAGTATTTAGACTAATACATATGACGTTAGTTAAATAACTAATAGGTAGTATTATAGTTAGCAATTATTAAAATAATTGCTTTTATCAAATAAAGGTTGAATTCAAAAGAATTTTTTTGTTAGATTTATTTTTATAGAAACCTAGAAAAGTTTCATTTTCAAATAACAATTTTTTTCTTTGCTGTATTTGTATTTTTGTTTTTAAATTTTATATGCAAAGAGATATGTAATTTTTTAAAAAAAAATTGTGGGGTCAATGGTCTTGTGAGAATGCTAGGGTATAAGAAAGCAAAATGTGATAAAAGCCCATGGCTCATAGTCTAGATGCCTAAGATGAGACATCCATGATAAAAAAGATCATGGGTTCTATCTCCTTCTAAACATTCTAAAGTAATAAATTGTAATATGTGCCTCTTATGTTGTAAGTTGATTTTAACAAGACATATGAATTCTCTACTTGGCTTTGAAGCCAAGCAATATTGATCTCTTTGTGATTAAGTGATTAGAAAGTTTATTTGAAGCCATTATTAGAATATAATTTTATTTTTACTAGTAAGATAATTAAGTCAAAATAAATAATCTCTCCATCGTAAATCAATTCATTTTTTCCATTTGTCCCAAATTATAGTGATATTTTCCTTTTCTTAGAAAAAATGATATATGTATTTCATTAATTAAGAACCGTGCAAGAATGACTTAGAAAAACTGAAGTAGGTATTTCATTAATTAGAAACTAGGAACCATATAAGAATGACTTACAAATCAAAGGATTATATTTTTATATAAATGGAATCAATCATCTACATAAAAAGTAATCTAATTGATAATTTAAAGTGTCTTATTGAGACGATACAGCACTGTTCAATTTCTTAGTCTTCCTATCAAATTAACTCTTAACTCAGATCTCTTAACTAAGAAAAGATTTATGTCTTATACACACTTTTACCTAACACAGACAAAAAAAAAAAAAAAAAAAAAAGAAAATAAGATTTATGTCTTATACAATCACTTTTAACCGTAAACACAGACCAAAAAAAAAAAAAAAAAAAAATTCAATAAAAAAAAAAAAAAAAAAAAAAAATTCAATCAATAAAACACAAAAACTTTTCCAAAATAGGAATGAACACATCTATGAAAGGAGTCAAACACATAACAAAATCCCTTCACAGGAGAACAAAACTCAGAATCTATCAAAAGCAATACATTTGAGAAAACTAAATCTCGATTCTAGAATAAATTTGGAAATTATTTAAAAAGATACTAAAAAATATTTAAAAAAAAAAAAAAGAGGAGTATCCACTTTCTCACTTGTGGGCATCCAAAAAGAGAAAAAAAAAAAAGAAAAAGAAAAAAAAATTTGAAAGAAAAATAAAGGAAGAGTTTCTCATCGGTGACACCCACAAAGAGATAATAAAAAGAAAAAAAGGAGGAAAAAGAGGAGATGAACACGGCAGTTTCTATTTTTCTTTTCTAAAAGAAAGTATTTGCAATTTCTTTTCTAAAATATTCTTAACCATATAATAATTACATGTATATTTTTAAAATCAGAAAGTCAAATCAAGTATATTTTTTTGAATATGGTATAAGTTCAAGTGCAAAGACCATGCAAGAGTTTGAAATTAAATCTTATTTTTTTTGGTATTCACGAATTCAGATTTATATTTTTATCCAATTATTGAATTCTAAAAAATTTTATTTATAAAATTCACATAAATATTTTTATTTAAATATAAAAAAGTGTAATATTGGCACATTATTGGTAGATAAAACACTCAAAATGACAATGTATTGGGCTCATTTGGTGGTTAGGATTTTAATTGAGAAATTTGAAGAGAGCAATGATTTTATATACTACCTTTTTATATAACAAGGTATTTTCTGTGAAAAAAAAAAATACAAGAAAAGTCTGATAATATTAGAATCTGTTTTGCAATTATTTTTCTGGAAATTATCAAAGGTCAAGACTGGTAGTATATTTTAAAAATATATATAAAAATATAAGTTTGACTTTATATAATAATAATTTTGCAATAATTAAATTTAAAATTATAATAAGAATAAAGATGGAAGTTCTATAAACTTGACTTTATATTGAAATAATTAATTTAAAATTATTTTAATATAATTATTGTTTAACGTGTTTTGAATTTTCTTAATATAATTTTAAGATAAGCTCATTTTTATACATATAAAAAGTCCAACTTATAATATTCAAATTAACGTATTTAACTTTCTGATATTGACCTCATTTACATAATGGCAGTAAAATCCAAATGCAGTAATATTAGGCCAGTAATTACTGCGACCTTTAACACAACTGAATAATGGTGTGAAAAAAGTGTTAGCTAATGTTTTACACTTTTAATTTATTTTTATTAGCTATTAATTATAAGTGGATGAAAAAAAATTTTTTTTTTTTTTTATGCGTATACCCTTAATGCTTGTAAGCATATTTAATTAAGATTTTTATTTTAAATCAAATTTTAATTTTTTATTATTTTGTTTCATTATTATCAACTAATTTTTTAATTTTACTTTTATAGGCTGAAAACTTTTTGTTGCATATTTTTTATTATTTTTTTCTTTAATCACTTTTTATGTTTGTGAATTTTCTTACTACATATGTCTAGACCAAAGTACATTAACAATTATAGGATAGAGTAAGTTCACAATTGGACGACGGAACATTAGAAAAAGAATTAATATAAACTAAGTTGGTCTTTGGTAACATTAAAAATTATATTCTAAAATTTAAAAGTTGAAATTTTTAATTTTTTTTAGAAAAATCAAACTAGAATTTCATTAATTGAAAACTGTATACATATATGAAATACAAATTAATATTTTTATATTTTTGTATAAGAAGCCTAATAATAAACCACTTATATAAAGAATAAAAAAACACAATCTCGATTTGAAATATCTAATCGAGTTGACAGAATATAATATTTGTACCATAGACGATCGCTTGCTCCACTTGTTGACTATTCATAGCTACTGTTCGACTCCATGGTCTTTTTACAAGTCTGATTTGATTACCTTCAAATTTCTTCCTTTGGAGAGGAGATCTACAATTTTTTTTACATAACTATTCAAATAATAAAAGACGTTAAATAAAATCACTATAATGGTGATAACGATAACTTAAAACTAGATCTGAGAACAAAATTATAATATATGAGCAACTATAAATCCTAATATATAGATGACAATAACTCAAATCTGTAAACAAATATGAAAATTCTGTAAACAAATATGAAAATTATTTGCAAAAAATCAAATAAAAAAAAAAAAAGAAAAGGGGTGACAGTCGGTAGAGCTCACCGGTGGCAGCCGGTGGAAGAAGAGAAGAGAGGTTTTAGGTTTTCAGAGAAAGAGGGAGAAATTTTAAATATTTAATAATATATAGATTACTAATTTCAAATTATAAAATTGTTTAAATTTGAGTCTAATTATAAAATTTGACATTTTGAACTGTCAACTCAGCTATTCTAAAGTCAATACAAAATTTTTGTTCTTCTCATGCAATAAATTGAATTAACTTGGGTTTAATCACAAAAATTACGAGATGGACAAATAATATTTGTAATTATTTTTAATAAAAAGATTTTATATTGGAACCGATGAGATTTTGATATTGAAAACATTAAGCTTAAGAATTGACGGTGAAACTTGTAATTCTTTTTAATAACAAGATTTTCACTGGAACTCATGAGATCTTGATTCTGATAATACTAAAATTAAGAAATTGATAGTCAAAAACTTTCATTCAATTCTTTTTAATAACAAGATTTTATACCGAAACTGATGAGATTTTGATTCTGATAATATTAAAATTAAGAGATTGATAATCAAAAACTTTTGTTTCTTTTTAATGACAATATTTTATATCGGAGCTAACGAATTTTAATCCTGACAACAACAAAATTAAGAGATTGACGGTCAAAAATTTTCAATTCTTTTTAATAACTAGATTTTATACTGAGCCGATGAGATTGTGATTCTGATAACACTAAAATTAAGGGATTGACAGTAAAAAAATTTCAATTCTTTTTAATAACAAGATTTTATACCGAAACTGATGAGATTTTGATTCTGATAATATTAAAATTAAGAGATTGATAATCAAAAACTTTTGTTTCTTTTTAATGACAATATTTTATATCGGAGCTAACGAATTTTAATCCTGACAACAACAAAATTAAGAGATTGACGGTCAAAAATTTTCAATTCTTTTTAATAACTAGATTTTATACTGAGCCGATGAGATTGTGATTCTGATAACACTAAAATTAAGGGATTGACAGTAAAAAAATTTCAATTCTTTTTAATAACAAGATTTTATAACGGAATCGATGAGATTTTAATTCTGGCAACACTAAGAGATTAACAATCAAAAACTTCTAGTTCTTTTTAATAAT